ATGGAGATCATAATTTTCAAATATTAGATGTCAAATTGGATGGCTTGAGATGAGTTATGAAGTGAATTTTTTTTAAAATTTTGTATTTATTAAATGACACTAGTACAACCACGTATTTTAAAATTTAAAGGACAATAATGATTGTATGTACAAAAGGTAAATGATCTCTTTGTAAACAATTCCATATTAAATCACTATGTCCAGTAAGAGCAACTTTAAAGTGACTTTAAAGTGATTAAACTGTGTCAAGTAAAAGCAATGTATTTTCCAAGTTATATCTAAATACTACCAAAACAGTAACAATTCATTTGCATGTAATGTATTGCGGAGTAATATATTACACCAGTAATATATTTCACAGACAATATATTTCTAGGTATACAAACCACCCTTAGAACATATTTTTTTATAGCCTCTAAACAACACACATTTCTCTGCAATTCCAAGGAGCAAAACCAGTGGGCTAACCTCTCTTTCTCTACTCGATTTTGTCTGTTTCTTTCTTTAAAATATCAAGACTTTACTGTCTAGTGCGTGAGTTCCAAACTGGGTTCATAGAGCTTAGAAACACCAAAGAGATCTCTCTGATTTCTATATTCTTATACACATCAAATACAGTATTGAAGGGGGCTAAATATCGTATCAAGATAGTGCTCCAGCATGCCCGAAAACAAAAAAGGCTTGAGCCATTGATTTTCTGAAATCGTGGTATCTTTTGCCCGTATTTCACCTAACAAATTTCTTAAAGCTCCTAGCTCACAAAAGCTTGTCGGAGGATTTTGTCTGGGCCGGGCTGGCCTAGGCCAAGGACCGTGGCTTGCCCATGACAAATCAGGCCAAGGCAGATTCGCACCACGTAGTGCCTAGGGCCAGGCCGGCTCAAACGGCCTCTATGATATTGCCCGGGGCAGGCAAGGTTTCTAGAAAGATTGTGTGGTTCAACATAAGATGAAAGGGTTGGAAAACGTACAAGGCTTAGGAAAACCAATTATCTATTTTAAGGACCGTGCGGTTCAAGAGAGAAGGGTTCAAGAACCATCAAGTCAACTCCCTGTTCTCGAGGGAGCATACTGTAAAATTAGGCGATGGGGGTAAAAGCCAAACCCAAGTATATTTAGACTCCTTCAATCCAGATCGACCTCAAATAGGGCGAAACCAAATCCGATTCTATAACTGCTTCAAAACATAAAGTTTCAAGATTGACCTAGAGTTTATCTAATTTTTGGACGGTGAGATAGAACTCAATTTCCAAGATGCATATGTTGGTAAATAATATAATTGAAATTATAATATACTAGTAAAAATTAATTATTTTGCACAAAGTAAATTTCTTTTATTTGTTTAGTTTTCGAATTTACCCTTTCTATAAATGGATTATATACAAATTTACTATTATTTAGTAACGTTTATTAGGATCTAATTACCATAAATATAATTCCTATTAATAAGTGATGTACTTTTAATAAGAATTATTTAATAAACATCATGAAAACCAAAAATGGAATTAATGAATATTTTATTCTATTAAATCTTGTATCTAATAAGAATTATATTTAACACCAAAAAATATTATAAATTATTAATTCCATAAATAGAATTATAATAATATTTTTGTGTTTATGTGAGATGTTATGGAAACTATAATATCTCTGTTTTGCTTTGCTTTTAATTTTTTTCAATAATCAGTGCAGATATATATTAAAATATTTGGCATAGAGCATGCAAGACATGCAGTAAAAGAAAGAAAGATAATAAAAGTAAAAAAGTATCTTCGTCAAAAATGCAAAAAATAACCACCTCCGTTCATTGTTGAGAGGTAATTTATATGAGATAATATCTTATTATGAATGTGTTTCCATTATATATTGTGTCAAATATATCTTTTTTGTTTTATTTTGTCAATATTTTTTCAATATGAATCTAACAGATAATTTTTGCACAATTCAACTCATTTTCTTTAATTATGAAGGAGAATAATTTTTAAAAAAATCTATAAATATAATCCCCAAACTATGTTCTAAGGTAAATATATGTATATGTTTAAAATATAAAAACTAAGTTCAGCAGTTACAAGTACTTTCTAAATAAAAAATTAAATTGATATCCAATACTAATGTTTTCTTAATTTTATTTTAGAAACCAAACAATATTTTGGAAGGTGCAATAAATAATTTGGAGGACAAATCATACAATTTTGGAATAAATGCTTCATTTAATAATTTCTATTCATATTTAAATTTGGTTTTGCAATCTTTGCAAGAAGCAGTACGTATTACTCCGAGGAAGTTGAATTTAGATAATTAGCATATCTATTTATTTTATGCTTTTGAACATAATACCCTCTTCTTCTTTTTTTACCAATTAATGGTGAATTAACATCTTTAAAATTCTATCCCACCTCCTCTCCATCTCCCTGGATAATGCCTCTTTGAAAAATTTATTCAAGTTTGAATATGTTTATATATTATTAGAGCAATGATCCTATGAGACCTTCACACACCTATGTGTGTAGGACTTCAAAGGATCACCATTAAATTTAACATAGATCTTTCAATAAGTTATCATATGGGTGTGGGACTTGACTTTTTTAGATATCTGTGCCAAATTTAATAGTGATTTTTTGAGGGTCCTACACATATGGGTGTGGGAGGATCTCATAAGATCATTACCCTTTTACTGTTAAGTTTGAAAGAATGCTGCTAGGTCTGAAAGAATGACACCAATAGCTCATATTTTCCTCATCTAATGTCAAGAGACTGTGGATTTATGGAGAAAAAGTAACTCGCAGTCATAGTAGCAACTGTGGCTTAGAAGAGGCAAATTCCCTTCCTAAATTTAAAGCTGGACTCAAGTTGATACATGCATTAGCAAAAAAAAATATATAAAAAAAGTAAATAAGGCTAGATATCTATACCTCTAGTTGTTCTGCATTATAGATAAGGAATATGTTGTTTAGCATAAGTAATGCAAAACAATTAGGTGTATTTTTGTAATTTAATATGTATGGTATTTAAATGCAGGATAATAAAAATACCCTTAATTGTTTCACATTACCAATATTGAACTGTGTTCCTTGTTTGTATTATTTGGAGACTAGAGGCATTTTTATTATTTGGATAAGACCTCTTGGGGTCAGATTACAGAAATTCTCATGATTATTCCGTATTCCAAATACTAAAATATAATTGAGATGAAACAGAAGAAATGTGCTTTCAAATGATAACAGCGACAATTAACCCCTTTTAATGATAACAGCGACAATTAACCCCTTTCAATAATATTTTCCTTTTTTGATTTTTTTATTTTAAAAATACATAAAAAGCCCATTTTTAAAAGAAAATGAATATAATGAGACCATTATTATTTTTTACACCAGGAGGTCACAATCCTCATTTGATCATTATATTTGAAATCTGGTTGTTGATTATGTATCATTGATAGGGCATAAAGTTCAAAATAAAATTTCTCGAATGTTGTGATACACTTTCATTTATTGGATTTCACATCCATTGGCTAAAAGTAATTGTGACCTCCTTGTACATTAAAATAAATGATCTCATACTATACAATCTGTTTTTAAAAATAAGGAAAAAGTTTATAAAAGGATGCTACCTTATAATGTAAAACTACGGATGCCCCTTAAAAATCCATCGGAAAATGTAGTTTTAATGTTGAAAAACCCTTTAGTTGATCAACTCGACATCGAGATGTATGACTATGAAAGATAAAAATATTTTAAGTCTAAAAAATAATGCATTTTACAACATATTATCTGCATCGTTCATTTTCAAGATTTTCATACGTTTATAGATCTACTTGATTTTAACCATTTTTTAAATTTAAAATTTTATAATTAGATATAAAAATAGATTTTGAGATAATCTTAAAAACATTTTACACCAAAACTATGTGCCATGATAAAATTTGAAAGTGCACCTTACCTCTACACCTACTCATCCATATGCAAACTGCACCCTAAAAATAATTCTATAGAGTGTATTTTAATTATTATTTTTTTTTCTTATACATCAAATTTAGTAGTTTTGAGCCATTCATACTTTTCACCTCCACACTAATAAAAATATATAGAAAAATAATTTAGTACTAAACAATAACCAAAATACCACAGCAAGGATTAGGGCTAATTTAGTCCATGTATTTCTTTCAAATTATTTTTGTTGTATATTTTACACGTACGTTGATGAGACGAAAGGACACCCCAAATTTAAATTCACACCAATATATAAAAGGACTAAAATCGAAGCATGGAAGACTACTTTTAAATCCCAATAATACCATGAGATTTTCTATAAATTTCCTGTACCTCGTTTGCATTTTTTTAGCTCCATTGTTTTGTTAAATCACCGACTATCTAAAACTAAATACTTTTTTTTGGGTAGTTATCCCAATATAACATCTCTTAAAACAAGAAAATAGTAGGCTATTAGGACCGAATTCCATAGCCTATAATCAGGAATGGTTGATAAATTCACATTCACAGCGCAACATGGATACTTCTCATGAAGAATATTTTCAGCACAGTCACAATCTACCTTGAGCTGAGCTTAAGTTGTTAGTAGTTGACGTTAACAACATTAAATTTCAAATTCGATTACTACCACTGAACTACCGATAATAAAGAATATTTTCCGCATATACTACCTCCGCCTACCCATAATGTGTTGCATATTTCTTGTCACAAGAAAAATATTATCTCGAGTTTGATTCCTACCATTGAACTACCCATCAAATATAATGCTCTCACTCCGCATTCCCATAATGTGTTACACAATTATCATAACAGGAACAAATAAAGATACAATAATGAAAAAGTCTATAAACTATTTTACCTTTAGTACAAGATGGTCACAATTAATATTGGCCATTAAATGTAAAGTTGGGTAGCTGGATATATTCTATTGACAAAACTCAAAATTCAACAAAAAAAATTTTGAACTTTGTGACACACCCAAACCATTAGATTTCACAACAGAGGGTTGTAAGTAATTGTGACCTCCTAATATTAAAGGTAAATGGTTTCTTTGTATACAATCCCTAAAAAACTACCTTCAAAAACTGCATTCACAGCACTTCTCAAGAGCCAATTTTACAGCCTTCCTTTTGTGCTTTTCATTCCCAATTTTCTTATTTCCCATGGAGTATAAAAACAACAATCTATTTTATCAAGAAACAACCTGCACAACCCACTATCTTCCACATGACAAAGAAGAAACAGGTGGGAAATTGGAGCATGGGAGCCTGAAAAATGGAAAGATCGCAACAAATTACACATTCTCGTCTCCCTTCAGAATATTGAATTTGCAGAGCGGACAAGTTGCATTGATCCGAAGCCACCTTCGGATGCACCCTGAATGAAAACAGTGATGACAAGGAAGAGAGTGAAGTTCGGCGCCCTCTTCATAAGATGAAAGGCAAATGCAACACTGCTGCACATGGAGAGAGACACACACAGTTCATTACTTCCAAATAAGCCAGATGGGAAGAACCAATCAAACCAACATCCTAATCATGCAACTTATTAGATGCCGAATAGTTTGGGAAGCTACTAGTTTCACACTCAAAAAAAGCAAGCTACTACTTCGGGAATCCTTCACACTTTACAGTTTCACACTCAAAAACGCAAGCTACTTGTTTGGGAATCCTTTTCCTATTTGTGATGCAGTCCAGGAATTGCATAACCATTGCACCAATCTGGTCTTAAAAACATCAGAATGACTTGAGAGAAAGAGAGAGAGAGAGATCTAGTGGAAGCTAAGGACCACTGCAACAGCAAAGAAAGAGGACCTGAAGAGATGCCAATCTGACATAACAAACACTGTACTTCATCTTCTAGAAAATCAGATAATTCTACTTCACATTCATCACATATACTATGCATGTGTATAAGGGAAATTTTGCCAAAGATATATTTGGGGACAGTTCACTTCAAGAGGAGAACGCACCATTAAAAGAAAGAGAAACCACAAGATTTTAAAACTTCAGAAGACTAATTCAATAAACAAAGTAATTACCGAATCCTGGGGAGAGAGAGATCGCCTATTGAATGTGAAAGTGGGGAGAAGGCTTATGTCTGCATCTGATGCTCCTGCTTGCCCGGCCACTGCATAGAGGAAGCCAATAATGCACGGCAAGCAACAGCAAAGAGCAATACCGATCAAACAAGCAAGTGCGGCACATAATATGGCAAAGAACACATCAAAAGCAAGAAACATAACAGCCATCCTGCAAAAGAAATAACACAAGGGAACCACTTACATTCATGTTACTAATTGATTAAAAATGCATCATATTCAACTATAAACTAGTATTGATCAATAAACATCAAGGGGAAATAAGGCATGATCCATATGGTCATGAAACAGTACAATTACAAGAGCTATTACAGTCCCATCAATTGTTTGGTCATGATGGAGAATGGGACGTGGAAACAAATTGATTCGAATGTGCATCCCACTTAACATATTGATTAGACTGTGCATCCCACTCTTGGTCTACCAAACCTACCATTGATTAACATCAATAATCCCAACCATTTTGTTGTGGTAACCATATGCATGATGCTACACTTTTCAAAAACCAGGAGTTGATTTATTCAACTGAAACAATAAAGGGTCTGGCTCCAGAGCAACCCCAGCCAGACCAAATCACCGTGTAGCGCCCCGTACAATCCATCAAATAAATGGAAATCACCATGCAGCATCCCCTAAAAATCCATCAAATAAATGGACTAGGGATCCAAAGTTATTGCATATCCATCCTCTTCACCTCCAAGACCAAGATCCGGGAAAAAAAAAAGGTTTTGGAGCTCTAAAAGTGCTCAATTTTGAGAGTTATCTCAACCTCAAATATGGACCATCCATTTCAAAGGTCGCCAGGTTGATTTAATTTGCACTATTTTTGGAGTTCCAAATCCACTTTTTTAGGGAAGAAACGGATTTGCAGGTGTTTAAGAGGGGTTTTGGGTCCTCGTGAAAAGATCAGGTCCTCAATACAAAGATGAAGGAATGTTCATCATTACAAACACACACGCTCACTCGCAAGCTCACATATATTTTTAGTATCAAGCTAAATTCAAAGTATTTTGATAGCAGAAACATCAAGATGAAAATAGGGAAAGAACAGCGGTGCTAAAATCTCACCAATAGAGACGGGGGGCATCCTGCAGAAGAGCTTGCCCACCTTTAAAGACCCAATAAAACCCAATTATCCACCAAATGAATGACGCTAATGTGTTCATTGACTCCAGTCTCTTGACGATGCCATTGCTGATGAACAGGAAGTCAAATCAGAATCAAAGCTTAAGAAGGTAACACAAACCCGAGAAAAACTTCTTCACAAACACACGCGCGCACGGACACACACACACAGAGGGCAGGCATAAGCATATGTATGCCTTAAAATTTAGGCATACACGTGATTTTATCTTTAATACTGGGAAGGTCTAAACATAAACCATCCAAGCTTCTTCTATTTCTTTCCAACCAAATCAGCCAAAGAACAGCGCTTCTAAGGATCTTCTAAATAAGTAGTCCTTTAGAACGTGAGTTGAGGATATGAAGATAGTCAATAATAGAAATCAAATTTGTTGGAAGTATAAGAGGGAAACCCAGCAGATTAAAAGCCCATTTCCAAATGGCATCAGCCAAAGAGCAGTGCAAGAAAAGGTGACAACTAGTCTCTTCCGCATTCTTACACAAACATTAGGTAAGATTTTACGCCGGATACGAAGATTATCTAAAGTAAGGCATTTATTCTGCACAGCCACCCAAAGGAAGGCTTGAATCTTCATAGGAATAGGCTATTTCCAGATAGCATGAATGCCCTCAAAAGACCATCGAAGTCGATCATGGAAAAGAAGTCTATAAGTTGATTTAACTGAGAATAAACCATCACTTTCACTTTCCCAGATAACCACTCATCTATTAGGTGAGATATATCTTCAAGCATGAGAAGGAGACTTTGTAGCTGCATAATCATACGATCAGGTAATATGTTATAGATGCATTCAATATTTCAAACAAGAGCCCCAAATTGATTGCGAGAAAATAAATCTGCAATTTTTGCTGCAGGAGAGGACACTATAGAAAACAGATCAGGATAAAGACAAGAAAGAGAACTATGACCAAGCTATCTATTGAACCAAAAGAAAATATCCTTCCCGCTGCCAATAAGCGACCTAATATTGCCACACACCATATTCTTACAGCTGTGTATATACCCTTCCAGAATGGTGACGTAATTTTCCCCCTGCCTTTTTTAATAAGATGAGATATGGTCAGAACCGTACATGGGTGCCAGGACCTGAATCCAAAGGTGGTTTGGACCTTAAATAATTCTCCACCACCGCTTGGAAGATTAAACTATATGAACTGGGCTATTCTCTCTAAGGCCTAACCCACCCATTGTGATTGGGGTGAAAATTTTATCCCAGCTTACCAGGTGGAATTTCCTATGATCATCATAAGAACCCCAGATAAAACTTCTCATGCATCTCTCAATAATCTCAAGAACATCAAGGATACATCAAATAGATGGGCAAAGTAGCATAAGTTGACTTAACCAGAGAAATACGCCCTCCCAAGGAAAGAGTTTTGCATATCCAAATATCCAACTTAACTTGGTAACTTTGAATGAGAGGGTCCCAGACTGCCCAAGTGAGCCTAGTGTCTGAGATAGAGACCCTCAAGTATTTTTAAGAGGGAACTTGCCAATCTTACAGTGAAGGATAGAAGCCAACGAATGAAGAAGACCCAAGTCACAAGAAATCCTAACCATTGAAGTTTATGAAAAATTAACTTTAAGGCCCAAAGCAAGCTAGCAGCAAATAAGGAAGCTGTTGAGATTCTTGATCATAACAGGATCAGCGTCACAAAAAATTAGTGTGTCATCCGTATACTGCAAGTGAGAGATTAATAGCCCACTGGAACCCACTTGGAACCCCTCAGTCTACCCTTACCAACAATATTCTTAAACATTATACTGAAACCTTTTGCAACCAAAGTGAAAAGGAAAGGAGAAAGAGGATCTCTTTCTCTGATGCCCCTAGAGGCCTTGAAGAACCCTTGCAGACAGCCATCACTAAGTAGAGAACTTTGTGCCAAGGATAAACACCCTAGAATCCAAGAAATCCACTTAGAACCAAAACCCATACACCTCAAATCTCCAATAATGCTTGCCATTCAACTCTGTTAAAAGCCCTTGTCATATCCAACTTAATTACAACCCCCGCTTTCCTTTCAAGGGTTCTCGAGTGTAGGCATTCTTGAGCAATGAGAATACTAACTGTAATTATTCTATCACGAATGGAAGCAGATTGTTCTCCAGAAATTAGGAAAGGTAGAACTGCTTGTAGCCTCTCATCTAAAACTTCAGCTATGATTTTATAAAGACTAGAAAGAAAGCTAATGGGTCGCATAACACTGAGTTCTGCCATAATATTTATCTTGGGAATGAGTGAAATATACGTGGAGTTGATACTTTTAAGGACATAACCAAAAACCAATAAATTCCTTGACGATAAGAATAGTGTCATGCTTAAGAAGTCCCTAGAATCTCTAAAAGAAAATAAGCCGGTATCCATTAGGCCCGAGAGCCTTGTCACTTGGAAGACTGAACACCGTCTTTTTGACCTCATCCTCTGAAATTTCCTTTTCTAGATCCTCAAATCCATTGGTTTCTATATATTTATTTATTTATTTCCCTCTACAATAAGATTTTTATTTTGTTCCAAGCAAAATTTCTTTCTTTCTTGTTTTTAGTTTTTGGATTAACTTTTATAAAATGATTATATACAAATTTAGTAATATCTAATAACATTTACTAGGAACTATATTAATTACCATAAATATAATTCCAATTGATACGTGATGTACGGTTTTAATAAGAATTGTTTAGTAAACAATATTATACCAAAAATAGAATTACAGAATATATTATTTTATTCAATCTTATATTCAATAAGAATTATATTTAACACTAAAAATATTAAATTATTAATAACATAAGTAGAATTATAATCATATCTTTATATTTATGTAACATGTTATGAAAAGTACAATTTCTATTTTTTGCTTTGTTTTTTAGTAACCAGTGTAGATATACATTCAAACATTTGGTATAGAGCATATAAGACATGCAACAAAAAAATAAAGACAATTGAAGACACAAATCCGAAAGTTACAAAAAAAACCACCTCCTTCATTGTTAAGAGGTAATTATCTTTCTCCAATGTTTTTACTTATCTTCAAATCGTTTTAGGGAAAATATCATTGAAGGGGACGAAACCCTTTAAAAACTTATTAAGGGATCCCTATTAGCATTTGAGAACTTACTTTTTCTTTTCCATTTCACTCATATACCTCCTACATATTTTTAAAAATGTCCAACTTGCCTTACCTATTATTTTGAATGAGGAACCATGAGGGACATTTCAATGAATCCTCGCATGAATGAAAAAAAAATACTCTAGTTGTCCATATTACAAATAAGGAACACATTGTTCAATATTTGTAAACTAGGAAGGATATTTTTATAATCTGATACATGCAAAGTATTTAAATGTGGAAGGGTAAAAATATCCCTAGTTGTTACACAGTACTAATATTGGATGATGTATTTCTTATTTGTAACGCGAAACAACTAAGGGTATTTTTATAATTCAGATGAGGCATCTTAGTATCCAATTTACTGAAATTACCATGATTGTTCTACATTCCAAATTCTGAACAAAGGAAATTAGGTATTGGAATTTTTTGAGGGGGCATATATTTGAAATGAGAAAGAAAAAGTATGCTTTCAAATGATAGTAGCGATGATTCAACCTCTTTAATCATTTGGTAGGCCGTTTCAACCCTTTAAATGATAGTCTATTTTTTATGTTGTTTCTTTTTTTTTCCTTTGAATTACTTACATAAAAATCCCTTTTTTAGATATAGTTCTATATGTTTCATATTATACACTCAAGTCCCACTTTTTAAGTATTTTAGTTATTATTTTTCCTATACATCAATGTTGGGGCATCCATACTTCTCACTACCTCACGCCAATAAAAAAATATCATCATCATCATCATCATCATTTTAGCCTTTTCCCAATTAATTGGGGTCGACTATATGCATCCTGGTTCTCTGTTCTGCTCTATTAAAGGTCATATCCTCAATGAGGCCATAAGTTCCCCTATCTTTTCGGACTACTTCCAATCACATCCTTTTGGGCCTACCCCTTGCCCTTTTTAGTCCTTCCACTTGAACTAATTCGCACCTCCTAACAGATGTTGTACTTGATGGCGGTACACATGGCCAGCCCACCTAAGTCTACTCTCTCTTTTATTGTTTATTGGTGCCATGCCTAAATTCTCTCAAATAGATTCATTACGAATTCTATCCCTTCTTGTCTTGCCACTCATCTATCTCAACATCCTCATCTTCGCTACACTCATTCTATGGGTATATTGTTTTTTGTCCGCCAACATTCCGTCCCGTAGAGCAAAGCTGGTCTCACCGATCTCCTATAGAAGTTGCCCTTCAGCCTCATTGGTATGCGGCGATCACATAAAATTCTACTTGCACATCTCCACTTCGCCCACCCAGCTCTAATTTTGTGTGCAGCATCTTCCTTAATCTCTCCATTTTCTTGGATTATAGACCCAAGATATCGAAAGTGCGGTCTTTTTTTGTACTTCCTGACTGTCAATCTTAACTACTTCCTCATCTCTACTCCTACTATTACTAAATTTGCACTCCATATACTCTATACTAGTCCGATTAATTTTAAAACCTTTGGATTCTAAAGCATCCCTCCAAAGTTCTAACTTTGTGTTGACGCTGTTTCGGGTCTCATTAAAACTAATTTAATAATAAACAATAACCAAAATACCCCTACAAGAATTAAGGTTGTTTTGGTCCTTGTATTTCTTTAGGAATATTTTTTTGCACATTTACAAGTGTAATGATGAGAAGCATGACACTCCTCAAATTTGAGCTTAATTCGATATAAAAAAGAACTAAATTAAGCCATACAATATTCTTAAATTCCAATAATAATATGAGATTTTGTATAAATTTCCTGTTCATTTTTTTTACTTTTTTAGCTCCAATTTTTTGTTAAATCACTGATCGTCTGAATATAACAACAGTTAAAACAAGTCGTAGGCTAACAGCCCCAATGCCGTTCGTTATATACCCATTTTTGAAGCATTTAGGACCGATTTCCATAGCCTGTGATCAGGAATGTTTGATTAATTCATGGCACAAGATGGAATACTTTT